GCAGCCAGGTGAGGGTTCACCAAGAAGACCATTTCATGAACAGTGTCACAGATTGCAAATCCATGGGCACGGATCCCACAGATTTACAAACAGCATTTTTTCCCATACCTGAGCATTGCAGATTTCTGTTTTATTATGTTCTAACAACATAGAAGACGCAGTTACTCCCTGTACTACCAAACTACACTCCCTTAAATCTCTCGTTCCTTGTTCTGTTTTTAACAATTTGAGGACAAACTAGAATAGATGAGGAGCATTGCTGCTCTTCCGTCTCACCTATCAGAGTCCAAGACTCGCCAGGTAAATAGCCTATTATTTCTCCTATCTGCAGTGATGACTCAGTCCCCTGAATGCATGTGATGATGGTGTTTGCAACACCTCTGCCATGCCTGTAGTCTCACCTCTCCAGTCACTATTTGTGCCAAAACTAACATGTTGGGTTTGCTTTAGCAGGATGAGAGAGTGTGGATGCCAGGTTGTCACTCTGTGCCTACCACTTGCTGGGTGTGGGGAAAAAAAAAAAAGGCATTCAAAGTGGTCTACTTACAACACACAAGCAAATGGCCCACACAAGAGCAACAATTTAGGAGGACAAGGAAGCTGGGATAAGCAGCGGATGCAGCAAATGTGCATGGGTGGATTGCAACAGTTGTCAATCATGAAACGTCCTCTGATTGGCTAATCCCCTCAACTCGTGTATCTTCTGTGTGTTAGGAGCATAGGGGGGCTTCTAGTGGACCAAAACTGGAAGGCAACTAAGGTCAAAAGTACTGTATAAACAACACACATAGAGACACAGCCATAATGCAATAGTTATAACAAGAACATATTAGTATAGACAATCCAGCACAGATTTGAAACAGAGGATGTGTGTGAGGGTGCGGGGCGTCAATTTGAGATTAAACAAATTCACGTTAATGTTCACGTCCTACTCCAGATAATAAACCGTGTGATAATGTCGTGCTTAGTGATCGATTTGATGGTATTTAATCTTTCTGTATCGTGTACAACACATACAGTACATTAAGATCCTAACCTGCACGTTGCAGCCTTGTGCGAGGTCCATTTTTTTATGTCTTCAGCTTAAACTCGCAACTTCATGTAGTTTATTAAACAACATAATACAGTGACGTGAGGATGTGTTCAAACACTCCTGTAGTTTGTTTGAGGTGTTTAATAAATAAACTTATTAAGTTTAAGCGAGGTCCAACACCCAGATAGTAAAAAACGGAACACATATTTCACCTTAGAGACAGTTAATATATCATTATTGTTTTATATGTTAAGACATTAAAATGAGATTTCCGCAGTTCGGACTCTGGTGCACTGATAGCCTTTAGCATGCTAGCTAACATTACAGAAGAAAGAAGAAAAAAATTTTACAAACACGACAACAATCCAAAACAACCAGCTTACCTTAAATACACTTCAAGTTGAACGCAGGTTTGATATTTCACGATGAAAAATAGCTAAAGCCAAGAGGAAAACAGCGTAGATTCCGGCAGCGTCGACTGTGCTCGCTGACTTGTCGTGAGTCTGTTTTCCTGAACGTTTCTGTTCTTCCTCCAGCACTGGTTTACACGCAGGGTTACACGTGCCTGTGTATGGGCTACCAAGTAATGTTGGAACAGACACCCTCATTGGACAGGACGGGATGTTGTCCACGCCCTAACACGGCCGAACGCGTTCTGATTGGCCGAGAGAGGCGGGGCTAAATGCACGGGGCTCCGCGGTCACGTTGAGTAGTGTCTGGTCCTGAGTTCTTTTTCAAATGTACTAGAACAGAGGAGGGCGTAGCCTGTGTCCACACTTGTTGTGGCATATTCTGATTTACCGTCGTAAGTGTAATAGCATCGCAATGATATTTAGTGTGGAATAGCTGCGGTTTATCAGTATATTGTAGGCTCTTTTTTTTTTGCTTAGTTCCACTTTCAGTTCTTTCACTACATTTTTTTTTAGCAGGAGTACCCTTATTAATGCAGACAATAATTCAGACATTATGCTCTATGTCAGAATAAGAACAACATTCATGATACCACGGTAGATGTGTGCGTTTTAACTCAAAGTACACTATGTCACTATACTTTTACCGAAACAAGTAAACATTTTATGCAATTTTAATCATGATCAAAATGAAACTCATATGACTAACAAAAAAACAACAACACATGCTTGTTTTATTCTACTGTCATGACATGTATTTATTAAAATACCTCTGTTTCTGCTTATTGTAATCATCATACTCAGCAAGAGAAGAGTAGTGTTCGTAGGAGAGTTGTCCTATAACATAATTATAAAAATGTATTCTTAACCCTTGAATTGAAAAAATGAAAACTTTAGACATTTCTGAACTAACTTATCTGCTATTTTTTTCAGAATAATTAGCTGACTGTTATCTTTTGTTTGAATTTTAATGTCTCCCCTTGATCAACTTTTAAAGACTGTGGACTTAAAATAAGAAATTATACGATTCCGAGCTGGATTGGATTCTGTCTTTATTTCTTTTTTTTTTAAATTGCTGTTCTTTGCTTATTTATGTGCTATTTTTATCATGCAAACTATTTTTTAAACAACCGTGAGTTTAGTTGAAAACTTAAAATCACAAGCTAATGCATTTTATACACAATGAAAAAGACAAGTATGCACATAATCTCCATCAGTTTTTTTCATTGGCAATAAAAATGCTCTTTTTTTGTCGACTCATCTCATGAGCCATGGACAGCAATCATCGCATGCCTATTTCTGCTGCGCGTTTATCTCGTACCTACGGCAGCGAGAGTCCCATGCATGCACAGTTCAACGTGCTCTCAGTACGGTGACGTCACCTGATGTTCTTCCCCTCTCTGAAGACACGCGGCAGACGGGGTGGTTGTTCAGTCCCAGTAAACAGTGCAGATGTAGGGCACATGCCTGTGAGAACATTGGTATTATTACCATAATAACACAGTTGTCTATATTTAAAGTAGATTAATTGTGCCTGAATACACCTAAATAGCAACAAAGAAGGGTTTAAAGTTTCAAAAATGCAAAATAGCCCAGTATCGATTAAAATAAAGGAACATGTTTGTTTTTGAGGTGATTTGGCAAACCGTATGTGGTTGTAATTATAATAAAATGAACAATAAATAACATTTATAACACACTGATGTGAACTTGATAAAAAAAACGCCCAAATCTATTTTAAGTACAAGTGCAAGTAAAAGGAAGACATACATTTCCAAGAAGCCAGTCGTGTTGTTTATAAAATTAACTTGTGCCAACTAGTTTTTAATAGTCTAAACTCTTCCTTGTTGAAATGTTCTACTTTCTTCTTCAGTCACTGGTTTACTTGGTCACGCTGCCATTGGTTGGTTTGCACTTGGCTTGTATGAGCTTCTTTGTTGGAAAAAATAAAAAAAAAAGCTGTGAAAAAAACCACAACAGATTTTTGTTCAGCTGTGGAGTTTGAGAATACTGACCCTTAATGATTGTGCTGTACACAAGGAAACATGCACACACAGCACGTCCTGTCTGGTTGTTTTGGAAAGCCCTTGCTCATTATCTTTGCATTAATGATTAAATTGTCAGATTTATATTGCTGCTGCTTTAAAAATGTGTTTCCATCTGACTGGTTGGATATGAGCTTGGATTTGCAGCATTTCATTGGCTGAGCGGTGCTCAGCCGTCTGGCCAATAGTTTGGTGTGTGTGTTTGGCAGCAGCTACAGGCAGGTGCTTGTGTCCAAATCTTGTGCAGATAAGAACATTTTACTGCATTGACTTGTTTACCAGTTTATTGTGCTTTCAATTTCAATGTGTCACCACAGTTGGCAAATTCTACACTCACTAATTGTAATGTGTCGACGTGAAGATACATTTGATGTCAAGCTTTAGAGGAAATTGTTGTATTTAACATGTTAGCAGTTAAATGTTACAGCAGCCAAATGTTCTGTCTTTAAGAAAGCCCTGAACAGTGCCTACTTTGGGTGCATGAAGTTATAAATACATTTGCTTGATCAAATGTGCACATGGGAGTGAATAGTCAGTGTGGGGAATGTGGACGTGCAGATTTAAATGTTAGTAATCTCAAATATGTCCACTAGATGGTAGCATTTCTCGGCATTCTTAACACTCACTAACATGACTGAAGAAGAAGATATCCTTAACTACCCCACGAGTGTATACAATTTACATCAATTACAGACACACCATAGAGTGTATAGTCTAAGACTAGTCTATCACATAGACTGTATAGTCTATGGTGTACTCTGTAATTGAGATATGTTACACATAGCCGTGGGCTGAAATACACACGCATGCACAAACCAGATCCCATGGACAGTGGCAATTCTAGAGTCTGTTGGGGCCCTATAGGCAAAATTTAATTCGGGGGCCCTACCACCAGCCTTCAACAGCGCAATGAGAGTGAATGCAGTCAGATGGGGCCCCCTTAGGGAGGTTTTCTACTGCCATTGCAAAATTTGCACATTTTGGGTTGCTGCTTTGGTTCAAAGTTTGTAAGCACTCTGGGGGCCCCCACATGGTCTTGGGCCCCCAAGCAGTTGCCTGCCTTGCTTATTGACCAGCAGCAGCGCCCCTGCCTATGGACACACACTAATGGAGAGATGAGTGAGGGGCTGCACATGGAAGAGCAGCCGATGCTTATTTTGTGTTTATTGTTTGTATTTAATGGTGGACGTTTGTAGAGAGCACAGTTCACCGAAGTAAAATTCCTTGTGTGTGTGTCAGCATACATGATGATGCTGATTCTGATTCTGATATGAATGCTTCTTGGACCCCTGCCCATATTTTTTTCTTTTCTTTTTCCAGATTTTATTCTTCTAACAGGAGAAGTGTGAGCTAGTGTGTCTAATGTAGTGTTGTTCGGTGAAAGGTTGATCTATATTAAATCAGGGTGCAGCGCTGTAAATGTGGGCTTTTCTGTCTAACGCTGTCGAAACGGCCTTTTTTTTTTTTTGTAAAGCCGAACGCGGAAGTCGCTGTCAGTGCACCATCTCTTTTCATCTTCCTGATCGTGCCACCGCGACTCCCGCCGGAGGGAGGTAGGTACCACTTTAAGGACAGGGCGTATCCACTTCTGAAGAATTAGGAAATGCGATGATGTTTGTAAGGAGAAGTCCCTCCTTTGCTTTAGTTTGACACTTTGACCGTCTCCGGTAAGACACGCCATCCCCCGGAACCAACTACGGTCCTGTCCGTCAATGGCTAATTCAACAACCGTCGCTCGTAAGTTTTCTTTTTCTTCTAAACATCTTGTGGAGTGGAAACGAAACGTGTGTTGCAGGCGCTGCAAAGTCAAACTCGTTCACATTTTGTCTGCGGCCACCTCCTCGGAAAAGTCTGTTTGAAACGACCACAGTTCATCATCTTAAGTCTGTAACCACGAACACAAGCTGAGCACAAAGAAAGTGGAGGAAACCCTTCAAAACGAGGAGTAGAAAATACATGTTGAACATCTGTAAGAAGAGAAATACAGTAACATGTGATGAAAACTTCCACTGTTTAGCCAAGTCTATGCATTATTTAAAAGTAGACACTTTTAACACTAATTACAAAAGCCATTAATGATTAGTTATTCTGTGTTAATCAATTCTGTTATCTTTGTAATTTAATTAAATATCAGCTTAGGTATTGATCTTAATCCTGTCAATTATTAAGACATACACTTCAAATACAAATTAAGCCTTCTTAATAATGCAACTGGCATACTTTCTAATTCCTCAGTTGCTGAAAAAGTGTCCTAACTTTTTTGTACAAGTTTCATTGTTTAAAGTTACACTGTAATGTACATATTTGGATACAGTTGGGCTGGTGTACTGAGACTGTAATTCATGGTCAGTTTGTCAGATGCATGAAGCATACATGACAGAATTTGATGGCAGTGTTAGTCAGTCTGTCTGCTTGACGATCCCATTTTGGTGGAAATGACAGCAATAGAAGTAAATCAGAAGCTTGATCCAAAGGCAGCTGGACTGGTCTGCCTTTGGGGAAGCTTTGGCTCAGTTGGTTGAGTCGGTCATCTAAAGCTCCTGCGGCCACATGTCCGATGTGTGCTTGGGCAAGACGCTTAATCCCAATTTGCTTCCGCTGCTTGGTCGGCAGCGTATGAATGGGATTAGTTACTTCGGATGGACACTTTCCATAACAACCCCTGTTATCAGTGTGTGAATGGGTAGGTGTGACATGCGGTGTAAGTAGTAGTCAGGAAACTAGAAAAGCGGTTCAACAAGCTCAAGTCCATTTTCCATTTATCTTTGGATCAAACTTGGATTATACCATGACCTGGATGACCGAGATCCAAACAGAGACAACAATAAAAGTAATTCAACAGACTAAACTTCAGGAACTAAATCAAAAAAAAAATGTAATTACAACACTCAGCATATCTTAAAACATTTCAAACTGCATCAATATTGTATGGTAATTGATTTTGTACCATTCTGCCTCTGAGGATTCCAACCAACATTTTAATGCTAAATGTCTCCCAGACGGCCGTGCATATATTGAAACACTGTGAGGTCCTTTCATGTGTGAAAGAAGAGTGCTGCAGTGTGTCTCTCTGCTTCAATGAATGCTTGATTCAGTGCGCTATTTTAGTGTACGCTGATGATGCTTGGGTTTTTCTTCGTAACCTTTCAAAACACTGGGCCTGGTTCCATTTTCCACCAAGAGTCCAGAGGAGTCTGTGGCGTGCAAAAGGCCAAGGACGAGTCCTCGTGTCTATTTTATTAGAGCATACATGCAGCAGATTCACTTGGTAGAATCTTGATGAGCATATAGTTGTGTCTTTAAATAGTTCACTCGATGCAGCATGCATGTCAAGATCTTGACACTTCATTTACAGTTTCAGGAGCTTCTATTCAGTTTTCCATTTCTACAAAGTTCTATTTGCAGCACTATGAAAAAATGTAAACAACGGGCTTCAGCTTCGCTCTTTAAACGTGGCGCCAACGCTACTATTGCCTTTTATTGGGGTAGATTATTTACCCAAAACTACACTTTTACCTGGGTGCATTTGGCACATAGTTCTTCAAAAAGACTATAGTTCTGGGGGATAGTTCCTCCAGTCGAAACAAGCCCTATTGTGATCCAGCCCAGTGGTTTCCAACCCTGTTGTAAGTCGTAAAAATACTCCTGTTGGACAGGAAGTTTAACTTTCCCTTTTCTTGTAGTTTCTGGATAGTTTACCTCCACAGGCCTATAAATGTACCCTATAGCCATTTTCACTTATGCACTCCTGAAAATATCTAGATCATTTCGGGGGGGGGGGGTCTCCTACGGTAAGACATGATATAAACAAACAAACGACGCAGAAGTAGTGGTCTGAAGCAACAGAGTCTATAACAATATTTACAATTCTACAATTCACTTTGCAGACGCTTTTATGAAAAGCGACGTACACCAGAGAGTAAGTACAAAACTAATCCATTCATACGCTGCCACTGAAGCAGCGGTGGTGGTGCCTCTATATCGATGCTACGTGTAGCTAAATGGAAATACACTATCAACAAAAGGGCGGAGAAGAACATACTGATGAACAGAATACGTAATGCATCCGTTGAAGTACGTGCACAGTCGCATGCATACAGTCTGTGCACTGACTCCAGTCACAGGATATAAATGTCACTCCCCACTCCCATTGGTCTCGAGGTGAATTCCCCGGAGAATATCCTGCTGCGTTCTCACATCAGCTCACTCGGACGTGCTGCAGAACAAATACTAGGGGTCTGGCAGAGGAAACTCTGGGTGAAATATCAGGAGTTTTCTGCAAGTGTGAAAGCCCTATATATGCAACTTTAATGAATATGAGTAGTTGGAACTTTTTTCATTTCATGTTTTCTTAACCATATTTCATTGTAGTCTTCCATAGAAGACATTTAAAACAGTGCAGCGAATCATTTTTCCAAGACACATACTTCCAGTTGAGTTCAACAGTTATTGCTCCAGATCACTCAGGTATTGATGAGGTTACATAAAAGATGAAGTCCATTACTCACATGTTGCTACATTATTGAAACTGACGCAGTATGGAAGATCCTTTATTGCTGTGTCTCGGGGTCATTATAAGCAGCTATTCTTGCCTCACATGTAGAGAGAGGAGAAACTGTGTCATGATTAATGAAATAGTTGATTTCAAAACTAATAGGAACATTGCTTCTAAGTGAAATAATTCCTTGACAAAATAACAGCAAGATAAAACAGACTTTCATTTTGACACGGATGTTGTTATTTAAATATTGCAGCTCTTGTTTCTGGATTATTTGTTGGACTCTCTGCGCTCCTAAAGGGCACAGCGTTGGCTCATTCTTCTGGCAAAATTAGTTTCTGCTCTGTGATCATAAAGCAGAATGAGAATGCGGTTAAGCAACACAACAAGTGCACACTTGCTAACTTGCAGAGCTGTATAAAGACAGAGGTACTCCTGTACCTCATAGCAACTGAAGCAGTGCCCGAGAGAGGTTTCATCTCCACTTATGTAAGAGCTCATTTGGCTGCTAAATGGATATTTGGTAGGGGGTTGAAATAGCAGAGCTGCTGTTGCTTGAACGTGGTGAGTTTGTGTCTCAGATTTGCTTCCTCAGCTGCTCATGATTCTTTGATTATGGGGAAACGGGTGAACCACAGACGACCTTTTAACCTTTTGAGCTGCAGGCTACACATTCCTACCCTGATGTGTTGCCGTCATACAATATTTTGTGTTTGTCGCCTCTTCTTGCATATTCTTGACTGACCGCTATGTGTTAATTTTTTTTACTGATTCACACATTGTAAATAATTCGATTTTTTTTGTCAATCCTGAGTACCAATGAAATGAATCAAAAAGGAGAATAGAAAATGACATGTTTCCTGGCTGTCCTCTATATTCAGTTTACTAAAAACAAAAACAAATTATTTATATGCAGATTGTTTTTCATGACATTTGGAGCCTCTGCAGCCAAACTATTCCACACTATAAGAAAGACTGTAGGTGTGAAAAACTTGATGTTGTTTTCTAATACACAATTGTTATACCTCATCTGAACATTACAAACATGGTTGGAGTTGGTGCAGATATGGTTGTTGTTTGAACAATGTTTCGTTTAAGCCTTGTTGGTTTAGGTTACCATATTAGGAAACATTCACACTTATAATGAACATCTAGCTGTTCTGATGTCATACATGGGAGGGAAAAAATCTACAGAAAGGTCAGGACAATTTCATTCAGGAACAGCATGTGAATGTTGAAATGGAAAGTAGGGCTGGATAAATGATCACATTTTTATCACTGATGCGATGAGAGTATTTTCAATAAATGCGAAAGTCTGCAATTTATAGCTGTGAATTAAGATTTCAGTCATCCAGGTCATGGTCAGTTCCAGGCTTGATTCAAAGGAAACTGGACTTGGTTGAAGATCTTGAAGATGTTTTACCTCTCCTCTGAAAGGCTTCTTTAGTTCTGAACTAACTAGTAGATGGATGTTGGTCCAACCCAAGGACTAAACTCCCAGGCATAAGCAAAGCAATGTTGTCAATGCTATCCAATGCAACAAGGAATGCAGGGATTTATACATTGGGGAGACTAAACAACCACTACACAAAGGCATGGCACAGGATTGGAGAGCCGGCTCTTCAGGACAGAATTCTGCTGTCCACTTACATCTGAAGGACAAAGGACACTCTACTGAAGATGACAACTTGCATATCCCAGCCAGGGAAGACCATTTGTTCAAAAAGGGGTGTTAAAGAAGCCATCTATGTTAAGGTGGAAAAACCATCCCTTAACCGAGGTCTTTCACCAACCTATAATGCTGTTTTGATTTTTCTACCAAAACAGCTGAAGCCCCAGTCCCACCTTGGAACATGGGAGCCCAACGTTCCACAGCGTTAACAAATGTAGATGAAACAAGGTCAACGACTCAGATAACCACTCTCATGTGAGTCATCCTTGACTCCACAGAGGCTTACATTTCTAGCTCCGTCCACCAGTTAGTTTAGAACTGAAGAAAGGTTGAAAGATCTTCAACCAAGTCCAGTCGCCTTTGGATCAAGCCTCGAATATTGCACAATGTTATCGTGCAAGGCATGTTTTTCTAATATCATGTAGGCCCAATGTTTAGAAACTCAATGTTCAGTAGCTTTTCACTGACAAACACTCTCTATCTTGGATCCTCCATTGAGTCTGGGATTGTTAAACATTTTGGTGTCTTTTGTGTTCTAAAGATTTATGCCCAGATAGACATTGTTGTACAAAGGGACGGCGAAGTTATTGACTCGCCAAACAGTGGTGAACATAAAGAAGTGGAACGGTTCCCACATCCTCTCTCTGCTTCCTAATACGAGTTTGAAGAAAGTAATGCGATTACAAATAGAGAAGGATCCGATTACCAACTGAATGTAGCTGTCAGTTAAAGACAAAAAGCTAAACGTCATGCAGCCAGAACTGATATCCCTCTATGAAGGATTTAGCAAAGATGTGATTCTGAAAGTTTGAAACGATCTGGAAAGAAAGACATAATCATCATTTAAAGACATAATGTGATTTCCAGTGTGTGCTGTCTTTTGCTGATATCAGCAGGGAGAAGCATCCTCTTTTCTGACATCCCCTTCGACACTGTTGTGTTGTCATGGAATCTGATATAGTTGCAGGAACACAAAGTTTAAGATTTGAGTATTCAAATGGACCTAAGCAGTTTTCAGTGGATATGCCTTTAATAATGGGGAACGTATTTCTTCCATAAGTAGATGAAAAGACGAGCAGAGGTCCAAAAATGGGGGATTAAGACAAAAAACAAATCTTGGAATAAATTATGACCAGAAACTTGCTGTGTTTTGTTCTTCAGTTATTTTCCATCACAGATCAATCTCCCTGGTATGTTTTTTCCAGAGATCCATTTCACATCATTCCCTGAGAGCGTCCGTGTTACAGGAGTGACATTAATAAACTTCATACACACACAACTCACGGAGTAAATCCCCATAAAGAACAGCAGGAAATTAAACTACTCTAACAGTAATGCTGATCTATTCTGCCCGGGCTTGGCTCCAATGGATGCTTCAGCTGAAAGATTTGACAGTGCAGACAGAAACACTTTGGCAGGTACTGCTATGGGAAAACCTCTCTCGAGTGTTAGTCGTGATGTTGAGGTGTTTGGCCAAGAGCCAATCACCTTTGTCCATTGTTGACCTGCTACAATACTGAGGACAGCTGCAGTGTAAGACTTGATATGTTCTCCTGTGGGGGTAGCTGAGGGCAATTTGACCTAGAAAGTATCTTGTCTGACCTGAAATCTGATAATCCAGAGAATCATGAATCATGCAACCTTGTCTTTACCACAGGATGTTATGTACACTTTGCATATATTTCTTGCGCCCAGGATAAGTTTTCATAAGCCCTTTTCACACATGCGCTGCACTGTTGAATATTTTCTTTGCTCTTGGATATGTTTTGGTATTGTCTTGGTGGGCTTTTTTCATTCTGACCTGCAGCCTGCTAAAATGTTTCACTAAAAATGTAAAATGTATATTCTGTGCCAATATTTTTTCCCACCCCAACGACATCGGGTCGGTTGTGAAAAGCAATTCCTTGGAAATGTTCATGGCCCTGACGTGCTGAAATTACACAAAACTGTCTGGAGTTCATGTATGAATGGGGCTATGAACTTTTAATAAATGACTTTCTTATCTTCTACAGTTTAGTTTAGCTTCTACAATCTTTAGCTGACTTTTTCTTCATACATTTTGCAACACTGTCACAACATAACCAACAACATAAAAAATTACTTTTTGTTAAAGGGACTATTTGCTGATTTTGAAACTCATTTCCTGTGTTAGGTTGGAAGTGGTAACACGGCCTGCAGATGTTCTAAATGTCTCTGTCGTGCAGATTGACATTTTCCAGCACTATAGCACGATCAATTGAGGTTTCATTTGTCCAAAAGAAACCACAAGCTATTGCCATACCTCTTTAAGGGATGTGTACTTTGGCACATCAGCAAAAATGTGACACGAACCAATGTCAGTATCTGATGTGTATTTGTTGTGCCAAATCAATTTAATGCAGGCATCTAGAACATCTGACTACTGATACAGAGAAGAGGTTTTTATTGGGCAGATGAAGTCCTCTGTTGAGCAAGGTAGGGGTTAGTGCCCTTTGTGATGTCATGAAGGGAAAATCTCCAAACGGTCTGTTTGAGCACACATTTTCTGAAAAGTGGAGCAGGCAAAAGACGGAGCGAGTGGACTTTCTCATAATTGGAGGATTTGTTGACGGACTAGAGACACATATTAGTGTTTGAAAAACATGACATTTGACCTTTAAATGAAAAAAAGTAATGCTGGGATTATCTGATAGAAGAGGACAACTTTGCAGGATTGGAATAGATTTTAACTTTCACTTACTGTTTCAAAATTCATCACCCAGCCCTATTTATATCCTCACACAGCTGTGGCACAAAGTGTCTATGCAAAGTCATGACCAAAGCCTTAAAGTTGTTTTTTATTCGTATGGAAATAAGATTCAGACAACCTGTGATGTGCCTCAGATATTATTCTGAAAACGTTTATCACCAAGAGGTAAATGACTCCTCTCTGAAATCCTCCTCAAGGACTCTTTATAATCCAGAATCTTTTTTGGCCATATCTCTAATTTGCTGGTTTGACGATAAAGAGAGTCATGATGGGAATGTGCCAGTGTGTTGGTCTCTACATGCACCCAGCAGCAGTCGTTCACAGGATGGTCAGCAGGCAGACAATGCTCTCTATCAGCGTGTTTTCAGTCTGGTGCACCAGAGGACCGGGACAATGAGAGAGCACAGATCTGCCTGTATACATCAAGAGGCACATGTTAGGTATGCAGACACATAAACACGGAGGGGTGGTAGGCAGGAACATGTGATTGGACATGTGTGAGACTCTGTTTAAACTGTTATCAGTCTGTCTCTGAATATATTTGCGTGTGTGTGTGTCTTACACACATACAGTCACACACTGATGTGAACAGGAGAACAGACAAAAGCTCCGTTGTGTGTCGGGCTGGAATGTCTCACGTGGTGCTCAAACAGCAGAGCCAGGGGAGTTCTCCCCTGTGACTGAGCACAGGTCACAGTCCGCCCTTTGACCGTCGACCTTATCAGTCTCAAGAAGACGGGTCGAAAATGTAATGTGATTTAATGTAATGACTATTTAAAGTATTGTTTCATTCACTTTATTTAGTCAAAAAAACAACTTAATTTTCCTCTTAAAAGTGAAGATTCTTCTTCCATTCTTTGTCATTTAGGATGACAAAAATGATAAAATGAACGCCTTGAATTTAGGACAGTTGGTTGGACAAAACAAGAGATCTGAGAAGATGTGATGACTGTTACTTTGAGCTGTACCCTTAAAATAACAAATATTATCTGTGGTGCTGGGAATCTTTGGGTGTCTCACGATTCGATTCAGAGTCTATACACGATTTAAAACGATTCTGGATGGATTCATTGATCCATGTATTCAAAGTCTATTTTTGAATTAGTACATACTTAAAGATCTACTCCAGTCATCTGTGAGACTGGCTGAATTTATTGTTGCTCTATTTGGCATTCTACTGAGTTAAAGAGCTAGCCTTAGCACTTAGCAGGGAGTGACTGATTATTAGCCCCCCCCCCCCACTTTTTTGGAAGTTATGATTTAAAATCTTAGAAGAATCTCAATAAATTGTTTTTTTCCCCCACCTCTAATTATTTGGCTCTTCAAATGAGGAATCCTGGCTCAGTAGTAGAGTTCGTCTTTCAAACGGAAGGTCAGGGTTTGACCCCGAGCTCCTGCAGCCACATGTCCGATGTGACCTAAAGTGAGACACTTAACCCCAAGTTGCTCCCACTGCTTCGTCAGCGACGTATGAATGGGATTAGCTACTTCTGATGGACTTTTAATACAACATCCATCAGACGAAACATTCAATATATTGACCAATATTTTATATGAAGATATTTACTATAAAGAAAAAGAGCTCAGACCTTGAAATGTGTCTGAACTAGTTTGAGTTAGTAATGAGGATCAGCATGCCGAGCTACATCTAGCACCCTTCCCAACAAGTGTTGTGGCACCCTGATGGGTCTAAAGTCCGGTCTGTGGGTGGGTGGGCAGATGGGAGTGGGAGTTGTAAAGTAAATGGTGTACTTGCTCTTTTTTTTTTCCATCATCAGACAAAAAAGATAACCATGCTACCAGTAAGCAGCCTTTAATGAACAACTTCTGTACGATCCTTAATCCATGTTTTACTTTGTGATCACCTTGCCTCTTCACTCTCAGCTTCTGAGATTAAATAAACTGTTGAGGAGGGAGGGGTGGGGTGGGGTGGGGTGGGGTGGGGGGGCACCTTGTGTTGATTCAAGCAGTTAGAGGACAGAGACAGCAGCAGACTCGATTGATCCAGGAAGGGAAAATGAAATCTCAGTCATGTTGTAGCTGACGCGATTTAAATCCCCTCAGCTGCTCAGCGAGGGTATCCGGTTGCATTCAAGGGCATTCAAAACATCCAGTGTTTTTTTTTTTTTTTCTTTTCAGTAATAATCAAATGAATCGTGTGTTGTTTTTTTTTTGTTCATTCCAACGGGTGGGCCAACAGCAAAAGGCAGCAACCACCCAGACTACACCGCGTTCGTCCTGCTCCCCGTTTTCTTCCTGCTGGGCCTGCTCGGCGTGGTCATCTGCCACGTGTTGAAGAGGAAGGGATACCGCTGCACCACTGAGGCCCACGATGGGGAGGAGGACTGTGTGGAGGAGGAAGAGAAAGACCTGGAGCTGGGAGGAGGTGAGGACATCAGAAGGGAGCTGGAGACTCTTTGGTGTTGAAATGCGATCTGACATGGCAGACGTGTTAAGTGTTAAGACGGTGTGTCATTGTGTTGGACACCATTACAACCGGCTTAATGCGCTTATTGCATCTATGGACTCATCTATGTGAGCCATCCGTCATCCATACACAGAACACACCCACGATTGTTGCTCTACACGTTTTGTTTTGAGCAGATGGAAAAGAGATTAGAGAACATAAAGGAAGGAAATGACAAGAGGTTGATGAAAGAGAAGTTACATTTTGCTTGTAATAACAGCAACAACAATTAGAACCTTTTTATAAAGTGCTTTTACAAGGGCTGCAAATCAACAAATAAATACAATCAAAGGCAAAAATAAGATAAAAAAACAAAGCAATAAAGGCTGCACATAGGTCCGATGTCATGATGAGGGTTTAGACATATTTTCACTTCTGCATTGGCTCCATTTTTCAACCCCGGAGGTTGCCGCTTGACTTTATCGCAGATATTAATAGATTTATTCACTTGTCAAATATCGTTTCATTTGAGCTTCCTTGTAGTTGGTAGCAGTTCTCTTTCTGGCTGTCACCAGCAGAGTATATGGATTACAAACAAGCATTATCACTCTCCAGAGTGTCAAACGGTGATGAACGTACATGCACTTTCCTGTTGAGTGACCATCTTGTCTTTCATTGTAAATCTCGTGTTTGATCCGCATTCGAACGATCGACACAATAAATGTGTATATTTATATCTACGTCTACAGACTGAAATTAGATAATAGAAAAATATCGGCCATATATCGGTGTAAGATTTTTTTTCCCCCCCCTCCCTAATATTGGCATCGGCCCCAAAATTCTCATATCGGTCTGGCCCTAGAAAACACATCATCGAGCAGTGTCTTTTTTCTGAACAATCGTGCTCTCCAGGATGTGTTTGAAAACCCTGAACTCAGCTAGCATAGCACGTTCTAGTTCCTCTGTCACCTTGTCAATGTGTCATTGGTTGTGGTAAAGATCTGTGGTTTACCCAAGCTACAGATAGCTCAATGTGCCAGTTCTCTCAAGTCTAAGCCAATAGCAGCATAACTAGGAGCTGGTCCATTCCTGCGGCACTATAAACAAATAGATGTGAGGCTATGCATAACATTGGTCAATATTTCAAGAAAGCGGTGAAGTGCAAAAATGAAACAAGGGTAGATAGCTGGCTTCACCTGATTGTGTCAACATGGCGTGAAATCTTTTTTTTTAACCTACAATAAATCCAGACTTTTGCAAGTTTGCTAACACTCAGATTACGGTAACGATGAAATTGCCAATAAATAGGTAGCTCTATCAAGGATCCAAATGTCCTCAACATGTCTCTAGCTTTGCTTTTTACAGCAGCACACGATTTGAAACAATTCCAATCAAATTAAACATTAACTGGAGATCAGTATCTGACCTAACTCTCGTCACTCAACCCCACGGTGTGTGCTGTTACGTTTCACTAAATGGAAAACACACGCAGAGGAAGGGAGAAGTTGTTTTCCAAATAACTCTCGTCATGTGATAGTGAATCTCAAGGTCAGCCATCGCACTTCTGCGTTCCCACCTGCCCTCCAACAGCAACAGTCATGAACTAAATTCCTGGACTTAATGAATTTGCTGGATGCCAGGTACTGAAGGAGCTGAGTGATGTGAGTTAAAAAAAAATTAAAAAAAAATTCACCAGTTTGATTCCAAATGGCACCTTGCTTTGTGGGGCACAGTCACATGGAGGTTAAGTGGAAACAGGGTCCATCCTAATTTTAAGCAACAACGACCACTTTTTATTTTACAACTAAATACTCACCATTACCTCTTTCAGGACAAATAAATTCAGATGCATGATTTTCAGAGTAAAATATTTCAATGCTATGAATTCAGTGGTGTTTAAATTTCAATATTCAATTCTGTGGCTCTTAAAATTCTAATAATTATGTCTCTTATTTGCTTCCAAGCTGCACACAAGTTAAGCGATTTTATTCTTCCTTAAACAAAAAGTAAAACATGCGTATGCAAGAAACAGAAACAGAATCTCTGAGAAAAACAAAAAACAAAACTGCGACTCAACAAGACGGTGCTAATGATAAGCTAAGTTGTGGTTTTTTCAAACTAATCCATTGAACAGTGTCTGTCTTTTTAAGGAGTGGAGGCCCGATGGAAACCGGAAGTTTCTCACTCACATCACTCATGCTGTGACTCAACCCCTGCCGTGTTATGTAATATAAATCCTCCAGTTTCATTCCCCTTGGCTCGCAATGATAAACTGACGTCGACTTCTTTTGGTTGTGAATCCTCTTCTGTGAGGATTTTTGTTTTATGCATTAGAGCAGAGGGAGAGCGAAGAAGGGAGGTGGTTGAAGCATAGTTAGTAAGAGTCCATTTTCTCCTATGGTGACCAAAGCCCCTCCATTACATCCAACCCTTTTATCAACCCAAGTTGTAAAGTTCAGCAGGTTTTGGAAAATTACGGACGTAAATCTGGTTTCTCTCTGCCAGGCAGCACAATAGCCACGAGTGCTCTGGGGTTTTTCCCCCGCTGTCTCAGTCAACAGGGCCCAACCCTTTCTCTCTCATACAGGAAACAAAAGAGCAGGGGAAAAAAAAAAAAAAACTAAAACATGGCTTGTGTATTCTTGTGAGCTCACTCATTCAGTCGATCCATGCTCCTCTTGTTTCCGAGAGATCAGGTTTCCTCTTTTCTTTCTCTGTCTGCTTCTGTCACTGACTTTCATACACTGTGAGCAGCTCACTCTCATAGAACACCGTGTAAAGACAGCCAGAGCACCCGGTAAATTCATCAGTAGAGACAAGAGATTGGAGGGTCTAGAGGAAGCTGTAGGAAGTGCCTCTCAGGTGTGTGTTTCGGTGTAAGGGGGTCATTTTCTATAGAGCACAGTCTTGAAGCATCTTTTCATGGACCTGTGCACATATTGATCATACGAGGTTCTGACTAAGAAACAACCTCCGGTCTTAAAAAATGAAGTCAATGTGGAAGTGCAAAATCCTGCGGTTTTGTCGAGTGTCTGCTTGAGGCTGGCTCCAGGAACCCTGGAAGTCACATACACAAAACAATCATAAAAGCAGTTTTTACAGCTTGAATAAACATGTTTACAGCCTGGGACAAAAAATGAAATAAGTCTGGTTTGTTATTGTCCTCATGGGCACATACTGTGCAGGGGGACGTATTACTATAGTTAATGTCGAAAGTGTTACTCTTAAAGGAGCACTATGTAGATTTGGTAGGCAAATTTTAAAATTGGAGAAGTGAAACAATTCTATGCTTTATTTTCTGAACTAAATACACAACTTGTACTCAAAGGAAAAAATGGGTCCCTGGAACACTGACTGGAACTTAAAAAGCTACGAGGAGAATTGCCATTTCACTGTTACAGGCCCACCACCATAACTTCTCGCGTAGCATTTCATCTTCAAACAGTGTTCCAGCGACCAAATTCTCCTCCAAGGACAGTTTGTGTACAGAGTTATGAACATAGAAGCAGAATCTGTACACTTCTCCAACTTTCACATTTCTCTTCTAAAACTCCATAGTGCACCTTTAATGTTTCAAACACAGAGATGTACTAATTAACTGCTCTTACACTGTCTGAGACAAACTGTGCGCTGAAGCCTCTTTCAGCTCTTAGTTTTGGATGCTTTGTTGACCACTCTGACTTCCTCAGGTCTGTTGTGTCCAGCGGTTAGAGGAAGTTATTTTTAATGGGTGAAAAAGGCCATTTTACACCAGCTTCCCAGTGCAAGAGCAGAAAACAGACACAATTGGCAGCTAGCTGATGAACTTTGGTAGAATATAACAGATAAAGACATGCACACAGTGCTTACAGGAAAGGGAATATTAGCACCCCCCAGTGGCCAAAAATATCATGATTGCAACTTTAGGCCCTCAAAACCAAAAATGATTTTTTAATATTATTTCAACATCAAGAACAATTACTACTCTACTACTTTTAGAGAGAAGATAGATAGAGAGAGGACATGCAGGAAAAGGAGCCACAGGTCGAATATGAACCTGAGCCGCCCACTGGGCCGTGGTCTAAGCCTCTGTATATGGGGCGCACGCTACCAGTGTTATTATGCTTCTTTTTTTGTTTTTGAAGATTCATTTTTGGGCCTTTTTTATGTATTTATTGTAGAGATACGACAGTGGATAGAGACCGACATCAGAGAGAGAGAGACTTTCTCTTTCGGATCTCTTATCAAATCTTCTTCATAATGTCATCAGTCTAAATGAAAGTATTTCCGTTTGTCTCACAGACCTTAACAACACTTACAGTGACAACGACGACACGGTGGGACAGATCGTTCACTACATCATGAAGAATGAAGGTAAGCGTCCATCGCTTGGCATCGAACCAAAATCACACGACAAAATCAGAGCTTTTGTCACCTTTTCTTAATAAGCTACCCGTTACAAGGAGCAATCCTGTTTCTGCATCTTTTATTCATTTTTTTAAATATTATTATGTCTTTATTTGCTTGAGATACATTTCCACAAAAGAATGGATCTTCATTAGATTACTGGGAAGGGAAATAATAACCCCCTCTTAGCTGGAACATGGTGGCATATTCAGAATAAATCTCAACACTTTCCTGACACACCGTGTTAATGTGCAACAAGAGAGATACAGATCAAAATGAGTTTAGTGTCTAATAAAGCTAATATAGGATGAAAACAAACACTTTATATGACAGAGTAGATCTACAGGAGAAATAAATAAAGAGAGGAGGAAGAGTTTTTGACATGATGCACTTCAAGATCAAAGTGGAAATGTTAAGAATAAATTCAGAATGCAGAGGGAAAAGTGAAATGATTAATACAATTGAAATACAATTTTGAGAACCACGTTGCTAATCCATTCATACACATTCATGCCCTGCTGATGAAGCAGTGGGAGCAACTTGGGGTTAAGTGTCTTGCCAAAGGACACATCGGACATGTGGCTGCAGGAGCTGGGGATCAAACCCCAAACGACAGACTTTACTACTGAGCCACTGCCACCCCTATGTCATGTCTGACCCTCAATCCCCCTCCAAAGTACATCACAACGTTTCTCTCAGTTAAAAATAAAACTAGTTTTTATCAGGCTGTTTATAATATTTTGATTAATGTGACTTTAATTTCTAAGTACAAAAAGTTGTCTTGGATATTTTAATGATTAAAAAAAGAAATTGCAGTTTCCAGAGATTTAAATTCATTATATATTGATTTAATATCACGCAGGTTTGATGTTGAGTTGCATTTCAGTCTTGACAACAGATTTTTTTTTTTTACACATGGGAGGGATTTATAACGACTTGAGTTCTGTTCATAGTACAAAGTCCAAAGGTACAAAGTCCTGATTCATGATGGCAGGAATTTATAGACTGAACATGCTTTTAATTAACTTGAATAATTCATCCAAAAGAAAAGAAAGAAGACAACAAGATGTCGAAGAAGATAAAGGAGGGAGACAGTCGTTCTGTAGAAGATTATCAGCTCTATCAGCAGAACTATCAGCGCTTACTGCTCTCACGTCAGCTGTTTAGGAAAAATGTTCATCTTATTCATTTTAAGAGGTTTAAGGACAAACAAACCGCGGCACAGTGGACTCAGTTTGTGACAACCAGAGTTTGTCTTGTTTGACTCCAGCCCTCATCCCCTGCTGAAAGCCCCCCCCCCCTCTCCTTCTCTAATTTAATTTAACTTTTCAGTTTGAATATTAATCGAAGCTGTGTATGTAGGGAAACATCAATCAATACAATTACATTTTTAAAAATTACAGGAAATAATCGCCTCAAAATGATGTCATTCTAATTCTTAAACTACTTTTTTTAAACATTATGGCATCACTATAGCAACATGTCGTCATGGGTTTTCCATCCTGCTATTCCATTGGACTGTTTGTCATTTTTTTGTTTCTCCGTAGAAGTTCTGTCCGAACGGCCTCAATGAGAATTCATTATTAAGAATGAAATCTCTCCCCCTCCCTCTACATCCTATTCATAACTTTAGTAGTCGTTTCAGTTAAATCTTTATTTATAGAGTTGTCAACAAGGTTAACTCCTCTCTGTATAATATCAGGTACATTAAGACAGTTTATTATTACAAAGTTGTTAAAGGGAAAAAAAGCACAGCAGTTCTTTTAAAGTAAAGAGTTAATGTGTGAACTGACTCGTGTTAACTTCACGTAGCATCTATGTTTGGAGCCTTGGAGTCCCTTAAATCATGACTCACCCTCACAGGGTCTGATGAGTCGACGTGGCTCTGGATTGCTACTTTAAAAATAAACAGTCGTATAGGAAAATGACTGTGTCAGCTCGGCAGCCTCTCAGAAGATTTATTCCTACAATACTCAACCAAGAACAAAATGTACACACACTTTACAAACTGGCTTCTTTAAAAACTCTTCCTCTGTTTTGATGGAAATAAGTTTGTATGTCACATGAACTGATGAGTGCATTTTACACGTCCAGCAGCAGCAGATTGTGTTTGAATGAAGACACAATCAGAGTGGGAGTAGTAGACTGCCATCTACAGATCGTTTCTGAGTGAAGGTCGTCACAGAGCTGACTCTGTCATGTGTCATTTCTCAGTGTCTGTGTTTTAAACTCTAGAGGAGCTAATTACTTCATCGAAACCCAATGGATTTATTTTTATTTTTTTATCATGAAATGACTAAAGCAAAAGGAGGTTCATTAAACTTTTGGACTTAAAAATAGCAGTTCTTCTGGATTGTCTTGTCCACCCTTGTGGTGCCTGATGTTGATATGAGGATGACAGAATTAGACAGATATTTTTTCCATATTTGGATCAATCTTTAGAATGAGACTTCTACACGTCTTTTCTTTTTTCCCCTGAAGGTCTGCACTGCCTCCTTTATCTGCTGCGCCCTCATGTGCAAGTCAGTGAGTGCATCACGGTTAAACCTTAGGGAAATCTGTCTCTTTGTATAAATCTTGACTTCATCTACCCCGTGCAAAAAACATGACCTTTACATTTTCTGAGTCATACTCCGAGGTCCTTTTTGCTCCCAAATGTTTGGTTTTTTTCCTGCTTTGAAATCGTCCTCTGAGGTTGTTGTGTGCATGTGACGTGCCGTCTAATTGTGTTAAGAGTTAATCCGTTGTCGCTATCCTTCAATAAGCGCTCTGCTTTTGAAGTCGCTGAAGCGTTGCCGTCGCTAATTCCTAACCCTTCTTTTATCTCTCCCTCCTTCTGCTCCTTTCTTTTATCAGTAGACGTCTTTAACTTTCTTTCTCTCTCTCATTTTCAGCAAACTCCGACGCCCTGAAAGCCATGATTCATGAAAACAGCATCGACTCCACTGATGGGTAAGTGTCCCTCTCTCAACCAGCAGATGGCAGCATAATCCTTCATGGAAGCTTGTTGGTGTCACTACAGGCCGAGACGAGAGTTATCCAGAGCAGGAGATGAGCATTGAAGGCATTTAGGCCACAGTTCTCCTCTGATACGTCTCCTGATTGGCAGGTTTGATTGAGAGCAAGCAGCTGGGGACATTCATCAGTGTACTGTGGTATTAAGGCAAGGCAAGTTTATTTATAGAGCACATTTCAGCAACAAAGCATCACGACAAAGGGCAGAGAAACACATTCAAAGAGGACATTTCAAATTCATTCAAACAAAACCTTAAACATCAAAGAGAAGAAAAAGTAAAAGCAGCTAAAACAGAAGCTAAGATATGAAGAGTAATTTACAAAACAACAACAGTGCACAGTTATAGTTAAATAAATTGAAAGGCAGCTGTCAACATGTGAGTCTCAGAGAGTTTCAGCAGACCTGCAGTTTTCTGGGAGTTTGTTCCAGATATTCAGAGCATAGAAACTGTTTGGTTCTGAACCCCGGTGGACAGAAAGCAGACCTGTTTTAGATTGAACGAGAGCGTTCTGGATGGATCATCGTTAATCAGAAGGTCACTAATGCAGCGGTTCTCAAACTTTTCACAATGAGTTCCACCTCAGAAAAAAAAATTGGCGTTCCGAGTACCACCATAATGAACAACACTGACTTACAGTAGCGCAGGGCTTTTTAACTAAATATCCAGTTTACACAGTTTTATTCCTGACTGTGGAAGCACTGTGGCCTGGGCTCATTCTCTCTGCCTCTCCAAAAATCTGAACTTGTTGTAACTTGAGTCTTTTTCCTTACTCTTTTGGGTCGTTTGTTGCTAACGGGTGCAGAAACCTCCCCTGGCACTGCTAACGTCACCACTTGCCCTCGTGCTGAGTTCACTGTCATCCATGTCACTTTCTGCTGTGCTGCTCGACAGTTTCATTTCCCCTTTGGAGCTAAAAATGCTATGTTTTTGAACCGTCGTTATTGCTTCCTCTGCTTGCCATCACAGCTTTGCTTGTCAAGGATTTGATTTGTACATCTTTATTTATAAAAAAATGAATAAATCAGAGACTCCACAAGAGGGAGCCCGTACCCTGGTCTGAGGCTTAAACCATTCAGTGCAGTATTTTACAATCTGTTCTCTGGCAGACTGGGAGCCGGTGTAAAGACCTCAGAGCTGGAAGCATTTGGAGCTTAGATGTTGTGTTTCCTTATTGATGGCTTAGGCAGAAGAATGTGAATGTAACTGTGACTGTAATTAAAAAGGGGAATGAACATTAACAAAACTGTAGGTAACAAATTAGTTCTACTGAATTACCCTTCTCTGAAATCTACTTAAAAATAACATTTCATCAATCTCTATTTATTACATCCAACAATACATTTTCCTCATTCTACTTATAACTGTCAGGAAGGGGTGGAGTGGGACGCAGCTGCCGATCCAGGGGTGTCTCAAAGTTATCCCAGAAGGATAACCACAAAATCACAATAGCGATAGATTGGAAAGGGGGAAAAAACAATGAAACTGTATAGAGCCACAACAGACTTCCTAACCTAAATAATGCACCGAAAATGATTAACTGAACCACTAAGCAGCTGACTCAAAACCAAAATTGTCCAGGAGACCCAGAAAACATGAAACAAAAAGCAACAGCTGCCATGGAGACATTTGATAACACAAAAGGTCTGAGTTGCAACGAAACTATCCAGCACCCCAAGTTATACCTTGGGAGACCGGCAATAGAAATCTAAAACACAAAGTTCTTAGTTAATGAGTCAACACAGAGCACTAGAGACTCAGAGTATATAAAAGCTCCACACACACCTGTCAATCAGGTACACACACCTGATTGCTGTGAGTTGATTCTCACAATTCTCACTGAGCAGAGCAGAATTCTCACCTTTTCGATTCTACAATATAGAACAAAGCATTGGTTTATTTCCGTATCTGACACGTGAAAACTTCTGGAAATATTACTGAAATATCTGTTAGCTTTAGCGTACTCTACCGCACGGTGTTATCTATATTACTGAATAATCTTTATATTAAAACCCTTTTGATGCTATTTAGGATTTTTAGTCCTGTATGTAAAGTTAATGAATCAGTTAGAGACAGAAAATTAACCAACTCATGGAGCTAACAATAGCTTAGTTGGCTGGTTTGCGAGCTAATGCTTAGTCATCATTTTAGAGGTTATCTTACTACAAAATTAGCTACCAAATGTGTTTAAACAGAATGTACTACTTGTTGTTTTTGTGTTGGTGTAAGTGAAGACATTTTAAGAGGAAATAGCAACTACTACTTAGCGAACTGTAAACAGCTAACTTTAGCTAGCATGAAATCTGTAGCCCTTAAAATTGATTGAAGTGTTTTTTTTATTTATTCGCACTTACGCAAACACATTTCTAATCTTTCTTCATTAAAACAACCCTCCATCCTAACAACAGGAGCCAGTGGTACAAGCTAAGATTAGCCGTCCTCACTGGACTCTGGTAGATCAAAGGACAGGGAGTCGGGTAGATGGACAGATTGGAGGAGGAGATGCTCGTGACAGAAGAGGAGTGTGAGCAAATTGAGTTAGCGCCGTATGCTTTCCCCCTTCTCTCTTTCTCTCCTCCTGTCATCTTTGTTTTAGTGTCTCCGACGTATTGTTCTGGGAGGAAAAAAAGGGGGAGACAAAGAAGGAAGAATGTTCACCTTTTGTTGGGAGGAAACTGTGGATAAATGGAAGGAGTGTACTAAAGATTAGCTATTGAGGTTTTCTGCTCAGTCACACTGCGAACGCACACACTTCCCTCGGTCACTTTCATGTGTTTAGTTTCCTCAGTTCTGTGTCCAAATCTTTTTTTTTGCCCACATATTTCTCCCCGGATTCCCTTCACTTTTTTGTTTTGCTCATTTAGTTGCTCTGTAGTATTCCCTCTTCCTTTCTTTCTCTCTCCCTCTCTCTTTCCAGCCAGGCTGGGCAGTCTGCCAGTGGATCACTTAGAGAAGGTGGAGTAAGGGGGGAGACGGGTATCAGCGGGGGTAATTTATGGGAGACTTAAAGGGGCGAGACAGACAGGGAGAAGGAAAATAAAGAAAGAGAGGGAGGGATGGAGGCAAAAAAAAGAGAGACGGATGGAGAGAGTGACTGTAGTGTGGCCAGGCCTTGCTATCTCTCCCTCCAGATTTGGTACTTAACTCGCCTCAGTGCTGCTCTCCACGTCAGTACTCCAGCCTCCACCTCTCCGCTTCTCCTCTCTCATCCCTCTGTCCTTCAGTCCCCTTCCTCTTTGTCCACAAGATGCTCTGTTACATCACTTCATCTCCCCTTTGCCATGTCTGTTTCCCCCCCCTGTCGTTTCTGCTCATGTTTGAAACCCTGCTGCGGAAACCTCACACTGTACATGAGGAAAATACATTTTAATCCAGAGTCTTAGGGTCTTAATCTAATATATGTAACCTGGCATTGTTTACACTGAGGTTTCCAAGTGATCTCTGCTGGTTATATTTATCAAAACGTTCTTACCATTTCCTTATAAAATGTTTTACTGTGTAGTTTAAGGGGGTAAGGGATGTCTGAAATATTGTAGTAATTACAGGAAAAAGGAAGGAACAGATCTAAAAATGAACCTCTGATGGAAACAAGATGGATATCTGTTTCCTCTTGAGTTGGCTCGTTCCTTACAGGGCAGACTTCAACTAAATCTTTAGCAGGTTTCATTTGCAAATTCAGGACGCAATGGCCTGCGGGTGATGATGTATTTCAAATTCTGAATGAGGTGGGGATCTGTTCATAAACATTTAAGTTCGGCTTTGGTCCTCATAGGGCTGAGCGATATGACTAAAAGTGTTATCACGATAAAACATTTTCATATCTTTCATATGTTTTACTTGTCTGTGGAAATAACTTAGTCAATGCTGCCAATCATTATTAATCTGTCATGGGTCTAATTTGCCTAATCCATGGTTCTCCAGTGAAAATGCAAATCTAAATGTAAAGCCGGGGCAGTTCATTTCAGTGTGTTTCCTGAGTTTGAGTCCTGTGGTGACATACTTTCTGGATACCTATGGTCATAAAATACTTCATTAGGTGGAAACAAAAGGATGTTTAAGCGCTGTTTGTTGTTCAAAATGAATATAAACTTGTTGTCTAGTATCTGCTGTATCAGACATCCAAACTGTGCTGAGGTTGCCTCAATAACAAGGAATGATTTGGCTGTAGCTATTTTATTTTCAACGCTTCTCTTTTAAAGGTAAACAGTAAAAATATGATGTTCTTGTAATCTGAGCTTGGCTTCGTGCTGAATACAGCTCCTTAAAATGTCATACAAAGCCTCTCCAGCAGAGGGCAGGCTTTCATTGCAGATTATTTGCGCTCCAAATTTAGGAATAAAATATTCAATCATTGCATAAAACCTTAATGTTCAGGTGTTCACATACTTACTGCCAGTTGCTGTATCTTAGCACCGCCCCCCCCCCTCTCTCTCCCTTTAAAGCTCTTACAGTTAGTGTCTATTTATGCTGTAGCTCGACAACGCAGAGGGACACACATCAAACAGACCTACTGTAACTCATTAATGCTGTTTTTTCCCTTGACACACACACACACACACACAAACACACACACACTGTTTATTAAATGTTTATGTCAGGGCGCAGAGACTCTGTTTACTCCACCTGAGTGTAAACAATGTGAAGAGCTGCTCTCCTGGGTCATAAAACATTCACACACTCTCCCCCTAAAAAAAGAAAACACACTTCAGAGAACTGTAAACACTGTAAAGAAAAAAAGAAGAGAAAAAGTGTGTTGTTCTGTGTGTGTCGCTGATGTCTCACTCCTTTTCATTTCTCTGGTATCTTTTATTGTGCTGACCTATAAAGGATGTCTTTGTTCTTTTATCTCTACGTTTTCATTACTACTGATATATTAATAACAACCCTTTTTGTTTTTTCTGTTTTCAGTCCTCCATTAACCCCGACCTCTCCCGACACCCCGTCCCCTCCGATGACTCCCATATCCCCGGGCGCGCCCCCAGGAGCCGCCAAGCACACCTGCAGCCACCTGCACACCATCGGCGGGCTGGGCGGTCACAAGAACATCTGCACGCGCTGCAGCCAGAAGAAATGGCCGCTGATGAGGAGGCCGTCGGCACGCAAGACGGAGCAGCGCCGCAGCCAGCTTGGAGAGGTCACGGTGCTGGCTGTAGGCAGGTGGGCAGGTGTGTGTGGCTGTGTGTGGCTGTGTGTGTGTGTGTGTGTGTGTGTGTGTGACTGAGTTTGACTGTGTGTCTGATGCAAGTCAAGAGGAGAATGGAGTTCGACATGCTGTTTTAGGATTTTTCTTTAGAATCTGTTTTTTTTCCACATGCAGAGGTTAATTCAAAACAAATAAACTATTATTGCACACACAACATTTAAACACTGACTCAACTAATCATTGCTCAAAAATCTACAATTAATTACTAAGACTACGATTGATCTGCACTTTGACACCAAGCCAGTGACCTGGAAACACCACAGGTGAACAGTCAGGATGAAGCCTGGGGAAAAAAAAAAACCACACTGCACGAATTCCCAACACTGTGAATGAGCCAAGTTTCAGGGGTTAACTTGTGTTCAGGAACCAATGACTGCTGTGAATGATTACATAAACCAGCAGAGGTTCACACACAACAAAGACAGAGTGATATCTAACAGCTCTCTAACTAAGGTGGCCTGTTTTCTTTGAGCTGTTGGTCACATGAAGGATGTCAAACTACCGACTTTACCTTTCACTTACCTCCTGTATTTTGTTCAACATTTTTCTAAATAACCCAAGAACTAACCCTCCAACGAAACTGAATTGTTGCAATCGCATAACAATTCAAGTTTACCAGCTTCTACTGAAGATAGCTATATATGTTAGAACCAAGCAGCAAACATCAGTGTTGGAAAATGAAACCAATGCAGTTGGTCAAGGGTCCGCTTGAGGCTGGATCTATTTCACTTTATTTTGTGAAAAATCAAACACAACCTGAGTGTGATGGGAGTTAAACAGAGGAACACAGCTATAGGAGAGCTCAGTCCTCTGAATATGACAGGACAGCTGCTTGATTCCTTTATGAAATGATATAACCCAAAACATGTGCTGTTTAACTCTTATTGCTCAAATACTTAAGAATTGACGCATTCAAGTGTCAGCTCATAGTCTTTATAAAAGAAGCAGCGAGGCAGCATTTGTGCTTGAGGAGTGTTTGACAGTGTGTGGGATGTCTCGCCTATTGAAAGTACTATGTGCATGTTTGTGCATAAATATTTGGTCCATGCTTCCTTCCTGATTCCTTCGCTGTTTGAAAACATGCAGTAATTTCAATCTCAGCATTCCTCTGCTGTGTATTTCTGTATTCACTGATTCATTCAGTGTTTGCCTCTTTCTGTCAAGACCTTTGCCTTTGAAACTCACTGAATAGTTTAGCTGATGTCATTGAGATGACTATTATTTTCTTTGGACTTTGCCACTTTAAGTCGAAACAATATCGAAACATAATAACTGAATAAATTCATGTTGAATAGCTATAGATTAAAGGGGACATATTGTGAAAAATCCACTTCGACAATGTTTTTGAACATATATTTGGGTAACCTGAGTGTCTACCGACCCACAAAATATGAAATAAATCCATCCAGTCCTTTGTTTGTGGTCTACATAAGTCTTACAACACAGAGAAAAATAGCTCTGTTTCAAATTTGCTCTCCTTGTGACATCACAGTGGGGTCCTTGTAAAAAAAAAAAAAAAAATCCCCTCCCCTCTCCTGGTATCTCCACCCATGGACTCCACCCGCAGCCTAGAACAAAACTTTTTTGGCGCAGGTCCGCCATTTTTATTCTCTCTACAGAGGAGTGATGTCTACTGGGAAAACTCAGGGGGGGGGTCATTACATTTAAAGAGACACACACACCAAAACAGAGCGTTCTGAGAGACCTGGTTTATACAGGGTCACAAAGCTCCTCTGGTGCTTGATTCATGTTATATTTCTTCCAAAGCACAGCACAGATGTTTCATTTAGACCACAGGCGACTGTTTGAAAAGGTGGAGAAGGGGGATAATATGTCCTCTTTATTACTTTGTACAAGAAACAAGACTTTTCTGTCTTTTTATTTAGTAAGAATGAACATTTCTCAGTTCTGAAAAGAGGATTAAAAGCCACTGTAAGATGTCTATGATCATTAAATCAAGGAGAACATTTCTCAGTCTGCGATTGAACCCGGTAACGTTCTCCGCCACGTCTGTGTCACGCGGCGATCCTCCTCCTCATCCTAAACGTCCCACTGCGAGCTGATTGGGATGCAGAAGAGGCTGCTCTCATTTTCAAACCCAGATGAATGGACGCGTACGCACAGGGTCAGCATGACCTGGATACGAATATTCATTCGCTGATTTAATTAAAGCTGCTGGAGTGAGTGAGTGTGTCAGTGTATGTTTGTGTGCGTGTGTGTGTGTGTGTGTGTGTGTGTGTGTGTGTGCACGGCTGGATGAGAGAAGTGTAAACGTCAGGTGAGAGTCATAGTGAGGCTGATATCAAACTGAGTCATGACTGAACATATTTAAAGATTGTTTTCTGATGATTTCTGTGGTACACGTTTTTATATATAAAAAAAAGAAGGTAAAAGGACATGGCCACACATTTTCTCTTCCTTTTTTTTTTTTTATTTGACCTAGAAAAAAACAAATCCCACTGGCTTCCTTTTTGAAAAAGTGTCTTAAAAGCGCTCAACAGTAAACACCTTCCTTGGTGTGTTTTTAATTATGTTTTAATAATCTGACTGCGCTAAACCAGAACTCGTGTTCATTGTTTGTTTTTTTTTCTTCAGGTTCAGGGTGACAAAGACTGAAAAACCAACAAGGGAGAGGCGCACTCTGCTAATATCAGACTCCAACGGCAGTGTTCCTACGTCTCCTGTGGAGGCGGAGCCAAAGAGCCGGACCACGTCAGAGTCCCAGCAGGTCTGTATCCTGGAAACGTCTTCCTCTGTATCCCTCTTTGTCTCCCGTCAGGCTGCTCCCTGCTGACACCTGAGGTTAAATAAGTGTTGGTATAAATAAACACTATTGATGTGTGTGTGCTTGCCTTGTCTTACTGTTTATATTTTGTTCCACAAAGCGGAGGGTTTTTATGTCTTTGATGAATAACATTTTGTTCAGGAGGCTGTTTTAATTCATTACATGGTCAGAAGAATATTACAAGTTGTACAGAAATTGTTAACAGCTCGTCCTTCAGGCTTTAAATTTGAGATAAACACAAGATACTTGTGACCTCGTCCTGGAGCAGATACTGAAAATCCGGCTTCAGAGATCAGAGGCTTGGCTTGGATTCTCATGCCTGAACAGAATCAGCCTCATAATCAAATTTGTTTTAGGGTGGAGAGACATTAACCTTATGATTCATTGATTATACAAATAACAGAGAATCTATTTTCAGCTTTAGGGGACTTAATACGTCCGTGTTTGTTTCATTTCATTGTCAGCTCAAAGTGTTGACTTTTGTCTTTCCAAAGTGAAAAAATAAAAACCCTTGAAGAATGGAAAAGTGATGACAATGATTAACCTCTGATTATTTTGTTCTCAGCAGGAGCAGACGGAAGACGCAGACAAAGAGAAACGGTAGAAATAAAGGTGATGTGTCACTTTTTTTAATCACTTAAAGCTACACGTGTTTTCCTGTTTCTGAATGTGTATAACATTTAAAATGTCTTTAAATGCAGGCATTCCTAACAGAGGAGAAAAGAAAACAACATCTGGACACTAATTAAAACCCACACATTCAAACATCAGCACAAGAGGAGAAAAAGCGACGTCCCTCTGTGGTCCAGCTCCACGTGAGTCCAAAGTGCTGCAGCTGTTGATGAGGGTGACGGTGGCGACGGTGACATTCAGAGTCACACAGGCCAGTTATTTACGACCAGAAGGAGGAATCGTCTCCATTTCCTCCTGTATTACATATTTCGATGTGCCTTGCTCAAAGGGTGGTAAAGCAGGGCGACTGATGCTGCTGAACAATGATGTGTGTACATATGACTCTGTTTGTGGAGGCTGTGCACGTCATTACAGTTTATTGATTAACCAACACCAAAGAAGCCAGTTTAACCAGTATGAGATTTAATATTAGGGTTTGTCATTCCCAAACCAGGAAGAAGGAACAACCTGATTACAGAACCAGGAAGTAGACCGGAGTGTCAAACACATGTGACAAGCACTGTCTCCTGTAGTGATGTGAACATGATGTCATAGCGGCACACGTTTTCAGGTCAATGTGTCTTCAAGTCTTACCTCTTGTGAAGAAAGTGAAGCATTCTGGGAGAAGAAAAAAAAAAAGCATATAATTCAGACCATAGACTGTATATAACATGAATTATTATTTACAGTCTATGATTCAGACCTATGCTGCTCACCACTTTTTTCTCTTAAAGTGACAGTGTTATTTTGTCTATCCCATCCCCCGCCACATGTTCCTTTTTTAAATTTGTCCCCGTGTCATAGAGGCATGACAGAATCTGCTAACACACATGTATTGTATTTTCTGTTTTCGTAAACAAAATATTTAAATTTGTCAGTGTATACATTTTCCTCCTTAAACACCAAGCAGTCATGTGGAGTCTTAAATGAGCTATTCTACTTTCTTCTCCATCAACCTGAAGACATACTGTACATTTAAAATGGAATGAAATAATTGAAATTAGAGCCTGACACATTAATCAGCCTGCCGATAATATCGGCCAATATTAGCATATCCAGTGACTATTGGAATCGGCTAATATTATTGCAGATATGCGCAAATAGTAGATTTATTTACCAGTGAAATAGCATTTCATTTGAGCATCATTGTATTACAGTAGCAGTTCTCTTTCTGGCTGTCACCAGCAGAGGGCGCTATATGAATTATAAGAAGCATTATCTCCCTCCAGTGTCAAGCATTGATGCACGTAAATGCACAGTTACTTTCGAGTTACTCAACTATCTTGTCTTTGTTATATATCTATTCCACAAGTGTTTGATAACTGCATTTGAGGGATCAACACAATACATGTGTATATCTATCTCTACAGATCAAATATAGATCTAAGACAGATATCGGCCGATATATATGATTTTTTTTTCTCCCCATTATCGCCATCTGCACAAAAAAACTAATTGAAATTGTTAAAAGTTTACATTTAGAAGTTTGAAATATAATTGCTTGTGTGGCATTGAGACTCATTAAGGAAACAATGCTTCAGTGCATTGTGGGAAATGTAGGACTTGTTGTTTAGGAGCTGAAAATGAAAAATCAGTCAGTTTAAGCTTTTAAATAAAATATCTCACGAGTCTGAATAGGCCTAGACATATTCATCAAATAATGTATTTTCCCCAGATGTTTGGGTTCAAGCGTGATCATTTTTAGACTTGTTTTTGTTGTTGTCATTTCATTTTGCCTCGTTTTTATAAAGACACTGTTTTGAAAGTAAAAACATGGGATGGTTTGTAGTTTTACTGTGTAATGAAAGCAAATAAAGATGACTTATACATATCAAACCATAAATACTGAACTTTACTATTGTCATTTAATCACACAGTGTGTACCATGAGACTCGAGTATATTACAGTGATAAAAGTCAGTGTCCAAGACTGACCCGCAGGCTAACCCTCTCCTCCCTCCACACACTGAAACATCTGTCTTCATATTCTGCTCTTTCTCATTTCCTTCTCCCATCTCTTCCCTAATGAAAAGATGATTTGTCTTGTTCATCTTGAGGAGGTAGTCCTGACGACCTCGGGCTCTCTATTATATTATTTCCAGATAATGGAGATGAGGCCGAGATGGAGCAGTGTTTTTTTTTTTTTTAACTGGATTTGCAACACCGAGGATTAGAAACTCTTGACTTTTTGTTTCCTCTTGACCTTCTGATTCATATCTGGTTCACAGACAGGGTTATAATAAAAAGGATGCACAAGTTTCAGTCCTTAGAGGGAGCACTGACAGTGTTCACAGAGTAGCCATTTCTTTCTGACCTCATGCTCAGGGTGGGATGCTCAAATGCTGATATGTCATATCGCCGGCCGCCTGATTGGAAGTGGTTTAATGGTAACTTGTGACTCATTAATGGGTGACTGCATCTAGATTGATCAGCATCAGGAAGACCCTAAAGGCCCTGACACACCAAGTAGAAGGCAAAGAAGTAGTGGCAACGAAGGCCGTGGCGTCACCTCATTTGTCTTTGTCTTGGCCAAAAAAGTTGCACTTGAACACACCACAAAGACTACAGCCGACGGCCAACCACCTAGTACGTTCTGTGCATGAGTGAGAGGAAATAACTCTCTGTGCCAGCAGGCAGCAGTAGACCGTTGTTATGATACGAGAAGACCATTTTCACACCGCAGTTGCGCACCACTCGTATTATAGGTAGACTACTAATGGAGAATAATGTCTGATAAAAAGTTGAAAATGGCGCTGGCGTTGTCAGTCCTTGGTTTTTTAGTAGGCAATGAAAAGAAGAGGCGGAGGAGACAAATAAGGAGAAACCGCACTAATGGGTGAAAGCATGGATACTACAGCAGCGTGCTCAAGGGGCTTTCCTGAACCTGTGTCGAGAGCTGGAGATAAATAAAACCTTCGAACAGCCAATTAGAGAGACTCTTCTGGCCGGCGAGGGCCGACGGGTAGCGACAGAGCCGGACACACAGCAAAAACTAGGACTCGACCGCTCACTGACGGTCACACTAGGACCGACGGCTGACGATGCCATTGGTGTGTCAGGGCCTTAAATCTGGCGAAAAACGTTGGTAATAATTGGGTAAAAAACAACATTTGATTAGCTATTAGCTACATCAGAAAACGGCTAATGTTACCTAGCTATTTATACGGTTAGGTAGGAGGTGGCTGAAATCTTATAATACTTTGGTGATGTGTATTCCTCACTGATATAATGTTAACTATATGGATTATTTAGCTAACATTGGCTGTCTAAATAATTAACCTGTTGCTTAACTACTCTGAACAACAACTTGGACGTGATTGAACAAGTTTTCCGAGTAGCACATGGCTGCCGCTATGTCACTTGACTGCTGTGTTGACAGAGACAGAGGAACATTTACATCAAGTTTGAAAAGAAACCCTGTCACACCCCACCCATGGCTGTCTGCACACAAACACAAGGTCACAGGATAACTTCAGGGTGTTAAACCTGTCTGATAGATGTGGTTGAAAGTGCAGAACACGGACCTGGTGCAAATATTGGCTCCCAGTTGCACGTATGAGTGTTTACTTTAGCTCTAAACTCAGAATTTTAAAGAACACACAAGGCTGAGGGTGTTACCGGTGTTGTTTGAAAGTTTCACTCCCAAAAAAGACAGACAGGAAATTCCACAAGGAAATCAGGTATGCACATAAAATCATACATAACGTATGGATAACATAAAGCTCAATTCTATCTGTTTTGCATGACTTCATAAGCAGTAAATTTATCTTGGGCGCTGAATTATTCAGGCCTCCAGGCGACAAGGCTCCCATGATGCTGCCAGGCTAAGTGCCCTACATCTTATCTTTGGCTCTGGCTGTCGGCCAAGAGGACAGTGCTCTAGCTCAGGGCTAGTGGTGAGAGGACGTTTTTTTTTTAGGGAAATATGGGAGGAGGTCGAGTCAATGTTTAACAGCTTTGGAGCAGTATCAGGTCCAGTGACCATCTGAAATGGCTCACTGCCCCCCCTTTAAAAAAAAAAAACTGTAATAGTGGACATGGAGAGGCAACAGAGTTAAAGCAGCACTATCCAACTTCTGGCAGTATAAAAAATTGGAATGTGTTCTTTCTTAAATTACATGTTAAGCTAATAAACTCTGCGGAATTGCTATAACCGCACCGCCGTTAAAAAGATGACAAATTACCAGCTTTAAAACAACTTCACTTTGTCTTACAACCTGGAAATTGGAGCGAAAAAAAAAAGAGAAATACTGAAGCACATTGCATTCACATGAAAAAATAAAATGTTTTTCTTAAATAATGAAATAAATACCCTGGAATTACGAGTTCTGTTTTGAGGAATATATCAAAATCTGCTCTAAATTCATCAGTCAGAGTGTTTGCCCCTGAAGGCCAGCAGACATAAGTTTGAAGGCAATAAGACGCAGCCTGTTTTATGCTAAAGGTAGCAAGTATTCACAATGTTAGCTTCTGTCTTAGCTAAGAACTTGGGTAGTTTATTGATTTCAATGTCTCAACCTTAGCTTCTGTTTAGCTTGGTTGTTTCTGCAATCACCATCATACAGGAAGCATTCACGACTTAAGCTAATATGTTTGGTGAATTCTATTTTGGGCTATTTTATGTAGATAATTAACAAGTGCTCAGAACTGTTAAAGGAAACATCAACAGACATTAAAAGGTTAGCGAGCTTCTGACCCCTGAAATCAGTCTGTGTAGTATTAACAGAACCAGGAAAAGAAAATAGCTTGAAATGTTCATGGCTTTCAATTTATTTCTGGCTACAGAGAGACAAACAATGCTACTGTGATTATAGAAAAGTAAATGACCTAGAATCTTTAGAATAAAACCGTTGACTGTACATATCTCTCTTGATACGATGCTCCCTCTGAGACAAGTGTGTGTGTGTGTGTGTGTGTGTGTGTGTGTGTGTGTGTGTGTGTGTGTGTGTGTGTGTGTGTGTGTGTGTGTGTGTGTGTGTGTGTGTGTGTGTGTGTGCGCCTCAATTAACGGTGACATCATTAACGCCAACAGAGCCCAGAGAAAAACAAACAAACGTTGCACACGTCACCTCGGGGACTGTACAGCAGGGTGCCTAATGGACCTAATAAAAACAACATGAAGGAATCTAACTTTGTTTTCCTGCTTACACTCCATCTAAATGCAGCACACAGCAGGTTGTGGCACAAATTAGCTTGTTGCTAATCTACTTTTGAGCCGTTATCTCGGGGCAGGTGAAGTCAATTGATTACTGCGAGTAACAGGGATGACAGTCAAGAGAAGCAGTGAAGGACAGCGGGAAGATAATGGAAAATAAGAGAGTCAATGGGCAAGTGAAATTAATTTGTAAAACGTGTTAAAGGATTCATTCACACAATTTTCATGAATCTCTCACAATTATCAACCTATTTATCTGAAGAAACTATTGATGTGATTTCCATGCTGTAAATAAAGGGAATGACTCAAATGTAAACGTGGTATATATCATTTTTATTTAAAAACCACATTAAGAAATATCAAAACCAATAATGGTAAAGTGTAGATTTAAAGCAGCTAAGAATGTAGCACACCAGTGTTCATTGAAATGTATTCTTCTTCTCACGTTCCACATATATACAAAGTTTTATATCAATATATGTAGGTTTCATTCAGAAATAGAAATACTATATAAAGGGATAATGGATTTGATGTGTCTAAAAATTTTAATTCTGGTTGCCGTTTTTTGTTTTGGATTTTGAAAATTTCAAATAATCTAAGAATCAAAAAAGACCGAGAACTTTGAGTTTTCTGTTGTATCTTTTCATCACTAGAAGTACACTAATACAGCACGGATAGACGGGACTGTCTACTGACAGATTGTGTAGGCACTTGGCATTTCGGATGCACCCAGAGACTAAATGCAAGGGGCAATCCAACACAGGCGAGACAAATGACACAGGTGAAGACAGTGAGGACAATCAGGACTAGAGGGAAACACACAGAGGCAGGGAGTAAGACAAGAATAATTCAGGAAACACTAAAGACACACACAGAACTCAAGAATGTAAAAATGACAATACACACAAGGACAGAGAAACAGAAGACATTTCAAAATAAAATAGGAAACATTAACATAAAGAAATACCAAGCAACATAAGACAAAAAAAACAAGATAATCTAGACTGAAAACTAAACAAGACCAACTCATGACACACCAGGGTGTGTTTTCACAAGTATTCAAGGGACATTTGGTTCTCAGTTGTTTATGTATTGGTGAATTTGTATTTTTTATGCCTTCAGAAATGACATCTGTGAACTAACCACAACACCTTTGAAAAGCTGAGCACATAGTGCACAAAGAAGATATTTTTAGAAGTCAGTGCAACATGCTAACCTCATACATTGAAGCTTTGGGTTAAAATATGGACTTTTCTGTTGGAACAATGTGCCACTTGTTATATTTTTACCAAAAAAGAGCTCCAGCTGTCGACAAAATCATGATCCATCTTTCTGTGAATCCTTGAACTGATTGAAGGATCAAAGTAATCTGGTGACGCACGCGCTGAGCTGAGCTCTGTTGTTTCAGCGCTAAACGAAGCACTGATGAAAAGATGACTCACTGGTTTGATGAAGGAGAAACTCCACAAAGACTCCTGTTGTCATCACGCCGCACGGACACAAGGAAATGTTCCTCTCTCATCACTCGCACACAAACATTAAGAAGTTCATAAAGAAAATAACTCATTCTGGAAACAGCTTCTGACCTGGAGTACAAACCAAACATTATTAATTGCCTAAGTTTGGTTCAGCTAGTTTTCTTTTATGTGGTTTTGCTCCTTTAGGAAGACGTCATTGCAGAAGAATAAG